ATGCTGGCAAATTCATTGTGACCCGTTGACGTCAGGTGGTAAGCGTTCCGATGCCCACGGTGCACCAACACAAAATGCCATCTGAGTAATTCTGAGTGTTGCAGTCACCTTACTTTTGGGTTCTGAAGTCCGTTCATAAAATGACCTGCAGCTGAGTGTCACATTGCACCAGCTCCTGGAGCCTGGGGGAGGAGAATGACACAAATCAATAATGCTGTCTGGGAAATGGCTTAGAATAAAATATTCCAGAAGGGCACAAACATCACCCAGGGGGAGACTTCAAGTGCTGATTAAATATGGCTGGCTCAGCCCTCTTCCACGCAGCGACAGATGGGGACAGAGTGCTTACTTGGGCATTTGATGCGCTGAACTAGGGTTACTGGAGTTGCATTAAGACTCAGGCTTCTGTGTGCTCGGACGCCCCCTGGAGGCCGACATTGCTCACACACAAGCAGAGAATTGCCTTTTAGAAGGACCGTCCATACCTCACAGGAAGTTTCCAACAGGGATATTTCTCAGAGCCCCACCATCAAAGAAATTAATAAACAAAATAAAGTAGATAATGCTTGCTCTACTTTTTCTCAGTTTTCATGCCCCAAAGAAAATCGGAAATAAAAGGAGTTCATTTACTCAAGGCAACAAAACATCTTCGTGTCCAAACAATTAACAAAGTAGTCCAAATAGGAAAAAGCCACCCAGAGACCATCTAGATAAATGTCAACTTTAAATCACATTTGAAACATTAAAAAGAAATAATGAGCACCAGTTTACACTATCGTGTATCAACAATTTATTCTTTCTTTATTTTTTCTATGTCTGAACTGCTGAGGCTTGAAAACACATTATATGGCGTGTGTGTGTGTGTGTGTGTGTGTGTGTGTGTGTGTGTGTGTGTGTGTCCATTCTATCTAATTTCACTATAAACTTAATATAGCACTGAGTTTAAAAGTTCCAACACTGAGCCGGGTGGTGGTGGTGGTGGTAGTGGTGGTGGTGGTGGTGGCAGCGGCGGCGGCGGCGCACGCCTTTAATCCCAGCACTCAGGAAGCAGAGGCAGGCAGATCTCTGAGTTCGAGGCCAGCCTGGTCTACAGAGTGAGTTCCAGGACAGGCACCAAAGCTACACAGAGAAACTCTGTCTCAAAAAAAAAAAAAAATTCCAACATTAGGGGCTGGAGAGATGGTTCAGTGGTTAACAGCACCATCTGCTCTTCCAGAGGACCTGGGTTCAGTTCCCAGAACCCACATGGCAGCTCACAACTGTCTATAGCTCCAGTTCCAGGGGATCTGACACTCTTATACAGACATTCATGCAGGCAAAACACCATTGTACATGAGATAAAAAAATAAATAAATCATTTTTAAATAAATAAATATTTATTTTAAATAAGTAAATAAATATGTTCAACATTATTCTACCAATTCTTTCATTTTGGCCTTTCGTAGAGGCAAAGCAAGCAAACAAATAAACAAAATGTATTTTATCCCGGGAAATAAAAAGTGTGGGTGGCAGAGATATTAGCTTTCAGTAGGATGGACACTAATTTCCTCTGGGAGTGAGAGCTGTGTCCCTGGGTACCCCGTGTCTGGAGAGAGGTCCAGAAAGGCTTGTGGCCTACTCAGCTCTGTTTTAAGTTTGATTGAAACCATTAACTAGAATATAATGAATTCCATATGTCAGTCTTATTTGGTATTTTTTTAAGATAGAATTTTTTTAACATGTAATTGTGATAAATCCACTCTGGCTAATTTATGTATTTCTCCTCTTTTTTCTCTCTCTCTCTCTCTCTTTCTTTCTTTCTTTCTTTCTTTCTTCCTTCCTTCCTTCCTTCCTTTCTTCCTTCCTTTCTTTTTTTCTTTTTTTGTTCCTTCACTGAGAGTCATCCCACCTACTATTTTTAAGCAGTTAAATGCTATTTACACATCAGTGGCTCTAGGCTGACTGCGCTCAATAAATTCACACTTTCCCCAGTATCTTTTCTCCTTAGGAATTATTGAAGCATCTAGGAAAACAGTTTTACTTTTTCAGACCACTTGTGCCTAAAAGCTTTTTGTTTATAGCTAATCTTACTCTTCCTCAAATGTTTAAGAATCAGTCATTCTGCAAGAAATCAGTAACTGAAGGCTAACTTTCCATTTATTTAAATGGAAAAAAAATTGAAATGTGCTGCATCATAACCCCAAACTGCCAACTAAATTATTAAGACATAGTAAGATTTCTATATATAAGTAGCAAACAATAGGTCTGAATAGAAAAAAAAACTTAAAACATCGATTCTCAATTACTCAACAGCTAATACACAGTAAATGTGTGGTTGTTCTGGGTAGATAAAGTAGACTTTTTAAATACGAGCACCTTTTACATAGAATTCTGATACTAACTGTAGTTAATATAACATGAGCCTTTTCCTGTATATTGGTCAGTTTGGAAGAACTTTTTGCCCCTAAAAAAATAAATAAATAAATCACGGGGCGGCGGCGGCGGCGGCGGCGGCG